CTCAGGATCTGGGGGGATCAGAACAGACCATTGGAAGCACATTGAACACAGGGGCTTCAGAGAGGCTCATTGAGGTCTCCCTCAGATCACTCAGACTCATGTCCAGTGGTACCTTGTCAAAGTTCCTCTGCTTCTTGTCCAGAGCCGCAGCAGCTGCATTAGACCTCTCCAGATCCACCATCAGATCTTCGATCTCATTCTGCAGACGGTGTTTGGTCTTCTCCAGGGAGGAACATTTAGCGTTCACAGCCTCCACGGCCTCCTCTGCATCCTGCAGCCTCTGAGCCAGCTTCTTCCTGGGAAGGAGGAAGGCAGACAAGGGAATGATTGAGGCAAGAGGAGCTCCTTAAGCCACAGGCTCAAACACTTCTTCACTTACCACACGCACAGTCGTACAGTCTGCAAACAGACAAACTTTTTGTTCGTCTTATATTCTAATTTAAACATAACGCAAACAAAAAGCTTATCTGTTAGAAGAAATGAAACAGCACCTTTTAAACTGCAACTACATGTATAGTATGAAATCTACACATATCTAACTTTGCAAAGGATATAAATGGATATAAAGGACACAAATACAAAGATAAGAAGTAGGTATTGGACAGTCTAATTTAAACATAACGCAAACAAAAAACTTATATTTCAGGAGAAGAAATGAAACAGCACCTTTAAACTGCAACTAAATATTTAGTATCAATTCACACTTCTACACATTTTAAATTTTAGAAAGGATACAAACGCAAAGATAAGAAGTAGGTATTGGACATCAGTCCTTACTTTGCATCCTCCAGCTCCTCTGTCCTCTGGATGGCGTCAGTCTCGTATTTGGTTCTCCACTGAGCCACTTCAGCATTGGCCTTGGACAGACTGCGCTGCAGCTCAGCCTTGGCCTCCTGCTCCTCCTCATACTGCTCCCTCAGCAGGTCTGCATCATGGCGAGCAGACTGCGTTGCGTGGGCCAGCGCATTCTTCGCCTGAGGACACAGAAACACACAGAGGACATCAGAGTCTGGGCACAGAGTCCTGCCTTAACACACTATGGGAAAAATAGCCAAGTAATTACCTTGACTTCCTCTTCCAGTTGTCTCTTGAGGTCCTCAATCTGCTGGGTGTAGGACTGCTTGCCTCTAGTCAGCTGGGAGACTAGAGACTCCTTCTCTTCCAGCTGCCTGGACAGCTCCCCTAGTATGACAACACAGTGGATAAGAAACTGGACTGTTTCAAGGACTGTCTTCAAAATTAATATTCAATGAACATGCCTACCATTCTCAGTCTGCAACTTGGCTTTCTGCATAGTAAAGTCATTGATAGCACGCTGGCTTTCTTCAGACTTGGTCCGGTACTCATTCATCTGGTCTTCCAGAGTCCTGCACATCTTTTCCAAATTAGTCTGAAAGAGG